TGCAATTTGAAATAATACAAGGGTTTTCACAAAACTTCCATTATATTCTCCATACTCCACTTTGTGTCATTTGAGAAGTTTTTTTCATCCCAAAGAGATGTTCTTATGAATTTAAACTCATCTTTGATTCCTAAAATATTATTCGAGACAAATGTTCAATGAGAAATGGTGGAAGGCATGAGAGTGGGGATGGACCTTGGACAAAAAAAAAGACGTGACATCATAGAGATGGAAATAAATCATTAGGGCTCAAATGGGTGTTTATATTGAAATACAAAGCTGATGGGACTTTTGAAATACATAAAGCAAGATTGGTAGATAAGAGCATTATATGGAGTAGATTACTAAGAGACATTTTACTTCTGTGGCAAAGATGAATACATTAAGTCTTATTGTTATTGTTGCTATGGAAAATCCATGCCTCGGCTCTCTATTGAGAGAGTTTTAGTGGTTTTGAGGAAAATTTCTTATGGAAGATTAAATTGTAGATAATATCGAGATTTCACCTTCATTTTATGAGAGCTTGATCTAGTTTCATTTTTACTGTAGGCTTAAGCCCCATAGTTAATCACCCTTCTCGGTGATGAGAGAGATCATTCAATTAAGGCTAGTTGTTAGAAGCTATATTTACTTAATGTCTAGTAGCAACAATTTGATTTAGGGTTGAGAAATTTATCACATTCAACTTAAACTGGATGGTGGGGTGAGTGATGACAAACTCAATCAAGATCCTATATTTTATTCATCCTAGATTATCATGATCCTTAGTGTACTTTAATCAGAAGATGTAGCTGACCTAACCAGACCAAAGCATCTTTATTGATGACCTAACCAGACCTACCAAATGCATTCCATAATTAACTACTTGAGGGTTTTCAATCCATTGATAAATTTTAGGTTCTGATTGTGACCATAATTTAATAGTGTCATTTTAGTGAAACCATATAGTTAGAGGGCACCGATCATTATCATTTACATGTGATGCTATTTGGCAGCAAAAGCATCAGTTATAGGACATGTCTATGCCCGTATTGGGGATAGATCGCTTGAGGGTGAATCATAGCTATGCGCTCGATAAAAAAATTGGCTCTTTATGAGTCGAGGTGATCCTTAAATTTGTCATCTTGACAAAGTTGCATAGATGAATTTTTGCTTTAATTTTTCGTGGGATGAATTTCACTTGTTTCTATTCTTATATTTTGTTAATTTTAAGATTTTATTATTTTTTGTAGGGATTTGGACCCCACAATAATTGTCATTATGATTTGGGGGCATTTTGAAAGTAAGATGCCCTTTGGTTGATATTTTCTATCAACACAATCATTATCGGGTTCAAGTCTTATTGACTCTAACTCTCTTAAAGGAGGATCAGAATTGAAATGTCGTACTGAAGGACCTTGCCCGATAAGCAAGGAAACATAATATGAAATAAGAGCTTGAATTTGTACTTAAAAGACTTAAAAGATAGTTTGTGAATTTTTTAAATAATTACTTTCTTTTCAAAAAGGATTGTTCGATTCTCATAGCGTGGTGAATTCAAGGTTTTTTTTTTTACCATATTTTCAGTTGACATGGCATTCTCAAGCTGTATTAAAGTATTTAGTAGATTTGTTGGATCATATGCATATGAGCTTATTTTAAAAAGTTTTAAATAAAGTTTAATGAGGTTGCATGCTTTTTAAAACAATTACATGCTTCTTAGTTTGAGGTTAAATTTAAAGTTCATTATTATTTTAGCTCACACAGTTTTTTTTTTACCTCAAATTTAAGAGTTTGATACATTTGATTGGAACCCATGCCAATTTTTCAATTTTAACAATCCGATGTGACTTTTGGATATCATTCAAGCTATTTGGTCTTCTTATATGGCCCAATTGCTCGGTGTGTCCACATAGTATATTTGAATGCTTTTTAATATTTGCTCGGTGTGTCCACATAGTATATTTGAATGCTTTTTAATATGTTAGCATAGTTTCTTTTTTAAAGTTATTTACACGCTATTTGATGCATTCACAGCATAGTTGTACTCTTTTTAATGTATTTTCACTCTTTTCGAAGCTCTTGCACGGTGCATTTTTATGTTTTTAATATGCTTGTGTACTTTTCAGCGCGTCTACATGATATATTTGTATAATATAGTTACTTATTTTTTGTGTAATTTCACATATTTGGTGCATTCCCATGCTTTTTGGTGCTACTGCACTGTGCGCTTGCATGTTCTCCGATGCTTTACATGATACATTTGCAAGCTTTTAGAATGGTAGAATGCTACATAGAGTAATTGCACGCTTCTCAAGGAAATTGTACACTTCTCGAGATGGTTGCACGCTTCCCACATTAGTGGCGTGTTTCTTAAGGAGGATGTATGGTTCTCTTGTAAGCAAGGTGCTTGTTGAGGCAATTGCTTGCTTTTTGAGGCGAATGAACTTTTTTCGAAGTAATGACACGCTTCTCGATAAAAAGTTGCATGCTTCAAGTGGTAACACTGAAATTTAACATTATATTATAATGCGTGCATGATTCAAAAGTAGATGGATTTAAATTATTTGCCCAAAAGTTTATTGTTTAAATGCATGCATGGTTTCTGATAGGAAATACTTGAGATCAAGTATCGTCTCTAGTGCAAATCTCCTCGCCAAATGCTGTCTCGCACAGGAAAACAGTGAAAAACAGCGGAAAAATGGAGAAAAACTGAGAGAAAACGTAGGAAATCAATAGCAAATGATTGTATTCCACTAGTAGATGCAAGGGACAAGTAAGATACAACTTTCCTTCGATTCGAGAGGAAGGAAAAACTCTCCAAATCTCTAGCCGTAGTCTAGAGCCCAAGAACAAGAAAACCTAGATCTCAACAATATTCCCAATGCAAGATAATCCCCCCCTTTTTCTCCTAACCTCCTAATTAACCATAAAGGAGTTTTACAAAATGTCTAAACAGCCCCTCGCATTCAAAATTTCCCTCCCAAAACTCCTCCTTGGCCCCCGTCGGATGAGCTCGCTCCGCTCGATTCCGCCCGCTCGGTTGGTTTCCGCCTCGAGTAGGTGTGGACCGGTCCAGCCGGCTCAAGTGCCAGCCTAACAGTTTCATGTTAAAATTTTAAAGATCGCCTTCCGCTTTTTGTCTGCTTATGTACACACATTGTGGATTCGGTGGCATTAAAGGCGAGTTAGAATCTTTTAGGTAATTTAAGTTATGACTTTTTGTATCTTTATACATGCAATTGTAAATCTTCTTATGTATCTAATTTTTCATCAAAGTATTCATGAGTTGCAATTTCCTCGTTAGGTTCAAATCCAACTGCACATGATTCTTGTATTGGCATGTGCTTAACGGGCTTTAGATGAGTTGATTTTTCCCTAGAAGTAAGTATTGATGCAATAGTCTTAAGAACTACATGATAATTGTATTGTTCCTCAAAATGTAAAGCAATGTAGAAGCCTCATGTGGTGTTTTTGTTGACATACAACTCAATTCATTCTTCTTCTTCTTCTTTTTTGCATAAGGCTTTTAATAAAGGTGATAATGATAATATAAAAGTCGATAAAATGACCAAAATGATTCTGCTCTTTATGAAAGACCAAAATGGTCCCTAATTATTAAATGATCATTTTGGTCCATCAATTTCTTAAAGAGGAACCAAAATAGTTCCATCATAGGTCTATTTTTATTTCTTTTTAAAGACTTGGAGCTTTATGTTTCATGCTAGACATGAAGATTTACTAATATGACTTCGCTAGGGTTGTCAAAATTGGGTCACGGGTCGGGTTCGAGTCCAACTTAAAACTGACTCGACACTGTGCGGGTCAACCCGAACCCGACCCGTTTTTGCAAACGGGTTGATTTTTCGGACCAGAACCTGACCCGCTTCAGGCTCAGGTCAACCCGAACCCGACCTGCATAGTTTGCTCCTTGGACAATGTTCCCTTCCAGTGAATAGAAAGTTACAACAAGGTTTCTCCCTTTCGTGCGCTTCTTCGTAACCATTCGACTTCTCTCATTGGACGATGTTCCCTTCTCGTTGGATCGAAAGTTACAACATTTTGATCGGAAGCAACTATGGGAGTTCACTCGCTATGAAGGTTTTCTCCCTTTCGTGCACTTCTTCGTAGCCGTTCGACTTCACTCCTTGGACGATGGTCCCTTCCAATCGGATTGGAAGTTACAACTTTTTGATCGGAAGCAACGCTGGGAGTTCGCTCACTTTCTGATCAAAGTTGGATTCCGGGTCAAAACCGGGTTTTCGAGTCAACCCGGGTCAAAACCGGGTTTCCGAGTTAACCCGAACCCGACCCGGAATTCAAAACGGGTCAAAAATCAGGACCCGAACTTGACCTATTTTAGGTTCGGGTTGACCCAAATCCGAAATTTTCATGTTTGAGTCGGGTTTTCGGCTCGTGTCAATTTTTGAAACCCCTAAACTTCGCCATATTGATTGAATATTCCTGCTAGTTTTGATTTAGTACATTCAACTATTTTAAAATCATATATTGTAATGTTCAACGAACTCTTTCAAATTATTAATTCAATTGGAAAAATTTCTTTGATTATACATAGTAATATAATTCTAAATCCTAATTTGAGTAGTCTCTATGTAAGTTCAGATTCTGCCTCGTAGAAGCTGTGTTCTTATCCGGAATGGGAGTAAATATCATTGTATCATTTTCATTTTGTTATCGGATAGAAACTATCATTATGGCCACTGAAGAATTAGTTGTCATGGATATAATTCAGGATTTTTATTATCAGGGTAGCAAAGCAAGCTTTATTCAGCAAAAAAAGGATGCGGAAGCTGTGAGGAACTCAGAATTTGATAGCCCTGCATCTTCTAATTCTTCTGCTAATCCTAGTCACGTGCCTTCACAATTTAGTGGTTACGGAAGTCGTAATGGAACACAACAATCAGAATATGAAGATGCCGATTCATGTATGCTCTGCATTCTATTATCCCATCTATCATCCTTCATTTGTAAAATTTCGATAACTGACACAAATTTCAATCACGCATCCTTTCTTCTAGTGTATCTAAAGCGAAGTTCGATACATCAAATAATTGCCAGACAAGTTCCAGATACAACTCTTTCCCTGAGATGCAGCGGTATGGGCCTTGGATGAGTGTTCAACATCCCAGTCTTTGTGCTCCAGTTCTAACTCAAAATGACCAATGCAAGATTGACATCTTCTACTTAATATTTTTCTCGCATTATTGAGGGATGAATTTGGATATGCGGCTAAATTCTGCCTGGTGACTATCAGAGACTACAGGCTCTAATGCCTTATTTCAAATCTTTCATAGTTGCTCGAGAGGTTGCGACCGAAGTTGTAAATGAATCTCATGCTGAATTAACTTAAGCTTCATTTGGGACGGCTTTTTTACTGCTGCTTGAAGCAGCTTTCTAGTAAAAAAATTTCGAAAGCTGCTTCAAGAAGTAAAAAAGTCTTCCCAAACGAAGCCTTAAACTAGTTCCAATACAAAGGCCGGTGTGAGATTCTGGAATGTTATCCAACAGTGTTCAGGGGCCTATCTTTTGAAGTCTGTTGCTACTGCATGGGCTGCTACACCAGCAAATAGTTTTGAGCTAAATTCTTTCAGGCTTCAGTGAATTGTCAGAAATGACCTTATTGCTGATGAGGAAGATGGTACAACATTTATGGGCAATGTAGTGTGACATGTATATTGGTTTCTCTTACGATGAAAAGATTGTGAGGGGAACAAACTCCATTTCGTATTTTTTTAGTTAAATGAAAATTTCCAGAACGTTGTTAGCAACTGCAGTTCTCTTTATCAGCATACAGTCATGTAAATGGGACGATTTTTTATTGCTTCTTTAAACAACTTTTTAGTATAAAAATTAAAATTTTTGTTTATTTTAGGAAACAACAAAAAAGCTGCTCCAAACGAAGCCTTAGAATCACGGTGTGCTACAAGTTATTTAAATACAACAAGTTTTGGTGCAACTAGATATGAATGGAGAAGAATTGTGATTTATAAGGTGAAGAACAGCCTGAAGTGGTTTTAACAATTTGTGTCACATTGCATTATGTAAAATTTCTACTAAACTATGTGATCCATATGCTGAATTTATGTTATTTTATCAATCTAAGATGTAGAATAATGAGGATATTACAGAATTATTACTTGATATATGAGGGGTCTAATTTAGGAAGGAAAATTTTCTCTAGCAAATTATCTTCATAAATAAATAGTCGAGAATAAAAATTTGAAAGGCACAAGCGCACTAATTTGTTGTCATTGCAATTCCTCCGCATATGCTAGATCTTTTGTGACTTTGTCACCATCCTGGATAGTCGACCGACCCTTCTACCCAATCATTTTGTTGAATGTATAAAACTATTTGAACGTTCTCTCATGTTGTTGTAGATCTCGGGTTGATCATCAAATTGGTGGTCTTATGTGCACCTGCAAGGGACAAGAACTTGGAGCCCTTATTGTATTTTAGGGGAAACCTAATACTTCGCCATAGAATAACATGAATGCGTATAATGAAAATTAGAAAACTGGCTATATATTCTTTGAGTGATTCATTTCTGATTACTCACTGTAGGGATCTGCACAACATAAAAATAAAGTTTTTCATCCTTTAAAACTATTGTTGCAGATGGATCTTTCAAATCAGTGATGAATAATGGATCTTTTGAGAATGGGAATGTTGATTCCATAAATGCAAAGCAAAAGACTAAATTTTCGTCATCATAGTGGTAAATCTAAAGTTAAGATTGAACATAGCTTTGATTTAGGTACAACAAAGCCTAATAGAACGTCAAATCTAAATTTTCGCAAAGGAGGAAGAAGTGCTTCATTGCTGTTGTGAATTAGCAATGTTCATTATAGAGTTGGTAATCAGAAAAAAGATTGGAGTAATTCTTACAAAAAGCTTCCAAGTAATAGAGGTAGAAATGGATCTACAAAAAGTTTAAGATTATCAAAAAACATGCAAACAACTGGCACAGAGAAGCATAAAGGAGTTAAGCTTGCTGAGGCTGAAGACAAAGAATTGAAATTAAAGAAAGTTCTCTCCTCTCAAAAATAGAATGTGAAAGATTTAGTTAAAGATCATAACCATGTTAAAAATATCGATAAAACAAATTCAAGATAGATGCATGCTCAGGGCGTACAAGAGGCTTTTGGACCACCACAAAAGCATAGGAAAGGCTTAGATGACACAATTGTTGGTTCAAAGTTAAAAATTTGATAGCTAGATGTTCATAGATTTTATGATGACATTGTTTATTTTTTTAATCAAAGTACAATAATGCATAAATTTTTATATAATGGTGATGTAAAAGTACTGTTCCTAAAGAAGGAGCAGTGGGAGTTTATTGAAGGTGAAACTAAGATGCATGAGGTGTAAGAAAATGATGAAATTGACCCTACATATATTCTTACCAATGGATTTGATAACTCTAGCTTTATGTGATTGATTATCAAGCTGGGTATGACAGATCTGTGTTATCTAGCTTGAGAGAGAGTGTTAAATCCCAACCATCCATTGGCCCTTGATTCCACGGTTAGCATGGGGATATGTGGAGGCTCACATGTATCACACAGTTAATTCTCAGTCGTCCCTTGGCCCTTAATCCCATGGCCAGCATGGGGATCCATGGGAGGCTCACCTAGATCAAGCTTTTCTCCTTCCATATTATGGTGGTTTATTTAGGAAGGATAATATTAAGACAATTATAAATGATTATGTAGTTATTTATTTCTTTCTTGAGACATCATGTATATATATATATGAATGTTTTGTATATATATATATGAATGTTTTGTATAATTAAAAAAAATATTTTTTTCTCTCTCCAATTCTCTGAATTTAGCATATTTTTTTATTTCAACACTTTAATATCTCTGTTATATCAAATAAATGTATGATATATTTCACTTAAAATAAATTAATATTATTGATATTTTTATATAATTTAAAAATTAAAATAATTATGTATATAAAATTTTGAGGATTTACATACATACTATTTTATACCATCTCATTTTCATATCTTCTTAAAGATCATCTGTTAGAATATTCACTTAATTATTATATTTAATACAGCTCATCTTAAAGATTATAGCTTTGAAGCTTACTTATCTTAATTCGCCTAAATGCTAAAAAAAAAAGATAAAAAATTTGAAATCATCTTCGAAATTCCTTTGTCAACTTCCCAAGAATAGTAGGAATCGTACTTACTCGAGAACAGCTGTCTCCATGTGTCCGCTCTCCGTCGGAGGCTCCGCTAGCCTTGGCTGCACGCCGACGGCGGATGGTGTTGATCACGTCTGTGAGGCGTCGACGGAAGTAGGCGAGCATGAATGCCGGATCTGTGGAAATTTCGGTGATCTTCGGTCGGTATTGCCCGCCTATTGTTCTGCTTCGATTAAAAAGCTCGGGGTAACGGAAAATGACTGCAGGTGGTTGAGGAGGTGCCTCCAGGCTGCCGGAAAGGGATTCGCCATCGGCGCTGGCATCAAGGGCGGCCTTTCTCTTTTCTCTATCCTTGTTCGGCTGAGGAGTCGTGGATCGAATGGCGCCCGCGCCCATGCGAGGTCAGGGAATGTAGGGTTTAGCGTTTTTTTTGTTTATGGGAAATGGTTTTTTGGAGGTTTAAAGCTTCTGTGGTTTTAGAAAGGCGGGGGCGATCACAAATGCGGAGGCATTAGTGAACTCAGCAAAGGAGACATTTCGATATGGCTTTTTCTTGGGGGCCTTTGCTGGAACCTTTGTTACTGTGGATGAATTGGTTGCTGCTATTTGGGGGCATAAAAGGTACTTGAATTATGCTGTTGTTTAGATGTTTCCGTTTATATGAACATTTTGACGTATTTGGACCATGAAAAAAAAAAGTTTTTGATTTTCAGAAGACAATGCCTCGAAATCTTATAAAATTTAAGTCAGGTGCCGTCCAAAATGTTAATAGTAAAATACATCAGTAAAATAATCTTTGCATGGTGATTTGTATATCCCTAACAACAAAAATGCAAAGTCAGTGCACATGATCCAATCAGTTGAATTAGCAGCTCCCTTTATTCTATCCATGGAGGACGTTACTAACTTCCACATTAAGATATGGGGGCAGGAACTGAGATTAAACTAAATATTGATAGTGTTTGTTGCATGTTGGCAATGGTACTCAAAGTTTCATCACGCACGCACGCACATATATATATAAGGCAACCAAAAATAATCATAGCCTAAAACACATCATCATATCATCACAAATGCAAAGGAAAAAAAGAAAGAAAGTGAAAAATATTATCCTAAAATATCTTGAGTTGGGTGTGTCCTGCAGGCATATTAAAACATGTGTCTTAAACAAGTGGTTTTGAACTCACGTGAAAAGCTTCAGAAACTCAATTAAGTAATCAAATGATTGAAAAACTTAAGCCGGACCAATCTATATAGGACACTGCCAATCAATACACCCTAGAAAAAAAAAAAAAAATGCAGTTGAGCCCAACAATCATTACAACTCAGCCTAAATCTATACAAAAATGAAATGGTGTGTGGGGCCTTGATCGATCTCCATCTGTTTGGCCTCCTACTTTTTGAAATGCCCACAAACTTACAAGGCTTTCCTAAGTAAAATTACATTTGAAAAAAAAAAATACAATCATCCTACAAAACAAAGATTAACACAATAATAATAATAATAATAATAATAATAATAATAATAATAATAATCACATATCTATACCCATACCTAATCCTTAGGACCAAATTCCCAATGGCTTAGTAATCATTGTGGTACCTGTTATAAAGCACATTTATTAGAAACATTTGAGCATTTTTATTTGCCATTTGGGAATGTGGTCACCTACAAAAAATATTCCTATAAAAATTTAATCACTTAAGGGCAAGTGCCCACTCATCAATCCATAAAACAGAAAAAAGAAGACAACCAAAAATAATCCAACCCAAAAACACATCATCATATCCTCACAAATGCAAAGGAAGAAAAAAAGAAAGTGAAAAATATTATCCAAACTACATTTTACCTTAGGATGCTTACAAAAATGTGTCATATATAGCTCCTAAGTGTGTGCAGAATTAGTGTTACCTAACTATCTCAATTTAGGTGAGAGGTTTAAGTTGCTAGATCCAGTACATATTGTTTAATTTATTAGTCATCAAATTTCTTTTTAAGTGATTAGTTATTTAGGGTGAATTAATTAACACTTAGTTTTAGAGTTATAATATTGATTATAAACTTATGAAGAGTCCAAACACATGGGCTCTAACCTTTGCTAGAGTTATGAACAATTAAGGGGTAAAAGACCCATCATCAATCCTGCACCTAGCCAAAGTTAAAATAATTCTAAGGTGGCAAGGTCGGTTAGTCCTCCCTTGATCATCTAAGACTCGAGGTAAGACTAATAGGTGACACGCAAAAGTGGGCCTATTGCCCACCTCAAAAAGAAAATCCTAGGCTTCCTATGTCTAAGGTAATTCAATTTTTAGAGGTTGATATGAGAATAGAAAACTCACTACCTATAGATATGCAGAGGTTCTATCTTACTTAAGGTTTAACACTAGGATGATTAAGGAATTGGTTTATGCTCGTAAAGGTAGCTTTAAATTTTTAAAAGAGTCAATTTATATAGATCTTTAAACCCTTCTACTCTAATTTGTTAGTTACGCGACATTACAACGTGCACGAGGACCAATACCTTCTAGGATACGTAGTCCCCTAGCTCGAGCTAGTCCAGCCTATATACCTTACATGTATTAATGGGGAGTGCAAAAAGATGCATGTAAATCTGACATAGGTCATGGAACTAAGGTGTGACTTGAGGTTCATTTGCTCTTCCAACATCTTTATTTGCTTGCTTTGAGTTAAAGGATTTTTTTTTTTTTTGAGTTTGAATTTTAATGTTTTGGTATTTTACTAAGTGTTGGAAAATTTATTAGAGAAGATTTTATCTTTTAATTTTGGTTCCATTCTAATTAATGTAGACTTTTGATTATGATCATTTTACGAGTTCATAGGAATGCATTTCATTTATTTTTATTTTTATTTGGTTTTTGTTATGAATTTTTAAAGTTGTAGTTTGGTTAAGGGGTTTTAATAATTTTATAGATTTTCGTAAATTTATTTAGAAGTCTTATGATTCTTATGGATTTTATTGAATTTTATCGTCAATCAGTTCATGACATTGTCACAACGGACATGAAAACCAAAGCCTCCTTAGGACACATAGCCCTGCAGCTCGAGGTAGTCCAGTGTCCAGACTATAAACTTCATTGACTAGTTGGGTTGTGTTAAAGATATTCATATATATTATATTTTATTAATCCCTTTTAACTATTAAAGTCTTATGAGTTTGATACAAGTTCAAATTGAATATAATGAATGTTATAAAAGCTTAGTTTGTTGATGATTTGCTATTATTTATTTAAGTTGAGTGATAATTATCATTATTAAACCAGGGTCATGAAATTTATTTTACCCTCATTGAGGCTAACTTAATAGCCTCATTGGCCTGAGTTGTCCAGCAAATATCTTGTTGTTTAACTGATTTTTTTTTGTTATTTAGTGGATTTTTTATTTATGACTATTAACTTTAGTTGGTTAATTATAGGTTTTAAGACTGATTATGAATTCATTAGGTATATTTTATAAATTGGTTTCATAGCTTTAAAGAATTATCTATGTTATTGTTTGCATCAAATGAACTTCACAAACATGGGTTCTACACTAGGCTCAAGCAACAAGACTAAACACGCTGACTACTATGAGACATACAAGATAAAGTTAACACAAAGATTAGCCCAACATGCCAGAGCTCGTATTTTTATTTCATTATATATATATGAAAACCACATTTGAAAGCTCAAAAATAATTAAGAAGTAATTTTTTAGAGGTGTTTATCATTTTAAAATCCAAAGAAAATCAAGCAAGCAATGTCAGTTTCGTGCGGAAAAACAACGATACACATGGCACAACATGGGGGCCTACACTATAGGCCTAGGTGACCATGAAGGTCTCTAAAGTTCACAGAGGGGGCAAGTCTCAACCAATAATTCCAGGACTTCGTAGGTGCACTTTCTTAAGGCCAATGACTAAACATCCTACCATATATCTTATGGTGGGAAAAAAAAAAATAGTCTTGTATGTGCTAGTATAGCCATTCGACATACAATAAGTTGGTCTTTACAAGGTACAGAAATTATACCTGACCGTAACGTGTCAGGGTATAACCACATACCCCCAACAAAACGTAGGAGTCTTATCATAAGACTCTCGTAAATCGACCTGCCCATCAATGAAATATGTATGGCAAAAGTCAATCGCAAGGAAGACAAACAAAAGAAGAAATAGTAGTAAGAGTATATACTAGTCAAAGGAAAAGCAAGCAAATAAAATTCTAACTAACAAAAGATTCAACATTTGTATTTATTTAGCATATGCATGTCTTGTTAGAACACAAAGCATTATGAGAGTTTTTTAACAAGAACAAAAAAAGAGGCTATATATGAATCATATAAAAGTCTACTAATATGGAATATAAAGATTTGCTATCACAGAATGCAGGAGAAAAATATACATGGGGCATATAAAAGCTTACTAGCATATGTCTAGAATGAATGGGAGCTTGCTAACCTAGATACAAATATTCACACCACATAATAACAACTTCATTTTTTTTAAAGATTCATGAAACTTTCCAATATAAAACATACAATCTGATACGGAATCAATGTACGTATATACTCATGATTGAAGTGGAATTTTAAACTCAAGAATATAAATGCGATTATCATATAAACATTGCTAATGAATTATGTATTTGATCACATGATTTGTTAAAACATGAAGAAATACTCATAGCTTCCATATCACGAGCTTGCCTAACTACTATTGAAGTCTTATGAATGAATGTTTATGATGTATCCTTAAAACGTAGATGTGAAACTGAACAAATTTTGTTCACAGTTATTCAAGAGATATCTCACTACTTCGCAATGGCAAGTTATAACGCTACTTAAAAAAATTCTAACAACACGTTAACGAGTATCGTTTTGTCATGAACAATGACAAGAAAGACAAATCGAATATATCTCAAAATAAATATAACTTAAAGTCAATCTGAATAGTCATCTCTCTTTTCATGTTCTCTTTATCAATACTAACAAAGGGGAGAACAAATATGCTATTTGCAAATGCTAATTGAAAAACACCTTGAGAAAATAAATTACAAGAAGCATATAATCACGTGAATACAAATAGTTGAGATATATCGTGAGGAGTTTCACAAATGTTATGCATACACATGTCACTATGGCTACACTTCTTTTGTAATCAAACATGCTTCCAACAAGAAGTTGCCACATTTTAATATCATTCATTCACCATAAGTCATGACGATGGAAAGATAACAAGTGAAATCCATATGTATGCTTACAATTAAAACTTGGGATTGATGAGATGGTCTAACATAATCACCAAGCCTTGCATTGCATAATGTTGGACATGCATGGGAGATTCTCCAACAACTTTGTAAGTTCACTTGATGTCAGATATACACATAGCATTGAAGTTTGATCTTGCAACACAAACATCTTTCAAATATTGAACTTCACTAAGCATGCCTTCATGCTGTTTTTCTTGAGCCTGACATAAAGAGTCAATCTTTTAGCATCATATTCGAAAATTATTATCGCCTTGAATTTTTTAAGCGTGAATGATATGTTGTTGTATTGCTGCTATTAACTTCTCTTCAGTGTGTCCTATTGTTCTAGTTGGAGGTGTTAGACGCATATCATGTATTAAAGAGAGTATTGCAACTAGTACCCCCATTTTACAATATAGTAATGACATTTATTGTCTGTTTTGTTGATTTCTTGATATTTAAATGCTACTGACTTCCTCTCTAGTCCTTTCTAATGAGGACATCAGCAAGAGATTCCGGCGCATCTATCATCGGAGGAATCGTAGATCGACTGCTACGATTCAGAGTCTTTATTTATGAAGCATTTTATGTATTATTTTATTTTGTGTCTTAGTCTTTACCATTGCACCCTTATGAGGGCTTAGTTCATGATGTATCCCATAGGGCATTTTAGTCTTTGCATATCTTTTTATTTTAAGGCCTATATATAGAGGTCTTCACTATTGTATGAAGTTAATGATTGATCAATAAAAATTTTCAGCCTTTTAGTTCCCTTGAGTGTTGAGAGCTCTAGAGAAAGGAGAAGTCCCTAGGTGAGGGAAAAAGTAAACCCGTCAGTCGTCGGAAGAATCCGGGCTCACGGTCTACCTTCCCTTCCCTTTTCCCACCATCGACCACCCCTCCCTTTGCTTCCAACCGCCGGCCTCCCTCCATCTCCACCCCAACCCACCGGCCCATACCTCTCCTCCACCCAAACAAGCCGGCTAAGCCCTTCCCCAACCCAAACTGCTGGCCAACCACAATCCCTCATCCCACACCGCCGGCCACTTTTCCCCCAACCGTTAGCCCACCGGCCTACCCATCCCTCACCCCTTGATTCTAATTCAATTATCTCTTTATTACTTTCCAAATATTGCCCTTATTTAATTTGGAAAGTTTCTTAATTCAAATGAATTTGAATTTTAAATTTTTTTCTAATTCGCCTACACCTATTTTGGAAGTCCCCCTAATTGCTATCAATCTGAAATCAATTCAGATTTAATTCTCCAATCAACAATGAATGCAAGGATCCACATACATTGAATGTGGACACTCACCCCTCCCCTCCTTTGGTCGGACCCCCTCTCTACCCTTTCCTCTCTCCAATTAATTCCCCCCTCTTAATTAAAACCCATTAATCCCCCACATAAGCCGCCGGCCCCCTCTCTCTTCTTTCTTATTTAACCCTCCCTATTAATGCTCTCAATCAACGCATTTCTTTTAAGGTGTGCTGCCCCACTTATTCCTCCATTAGAGGAGATTTGAATTTCAAAATTATTCCCTCCTCTCCAATTGAAAAATCTGAAATTAAATTTCAGATTTTTGTTTATTTCCCTTCCAACCACCTAAGCCAAAATTTGAAATTAAAGTGTCCTCTTCACCTAGCCAAGCCCCTCTCCCCTCCATTACCTCTCTTCTCTCTTGCTTCACATCCTTCCAAGGAAGAAGATACACTACCACTTGGCCTACTTCCCTCATGAATGGCCGATCCCGAGCACGATCATGGATTCATGTATGATCTTCAAGGACGAGTAGATATTCTCTGGTCTCCCTTCTTCAACCTCAAGTTGGAAATCGACCACACCGTCGACGACTACGTCGACCGGATTCTCTTCACTTTGTCGACCGCCATCGACGAGCACCAAATCTCCGGACAGTGGCGAGTTATTCAACATCTACACTCCTTCCCCTCCGGCAAGGTTTTCATTGAGCTATACTATAGGCGTCTTGTATCTTTTGGTGGCATCTTTATGTTTATTGAAATTATTCTCCTGTTAAAACAACTCTCAAGAGTGAAAGTGAGGGGAACTCAAGGTGAACTATCTATTTGTTAAATGGTGGATTTCTATTATTTATGCATCTAGCTTTACTTTAATTTTGTTGTTATTTTAAATTGCCCTGCTAATCTAGTTTGGAACCACATGCCAAAGCACATCAACAACTAAGAAATCCTAGAATCTAATCTTGTGAAAAATTAATTTTAAAATTAGCAAGCTTAACAAATTTTTATTAAATTTTTGCAATTCCTTTCACATCACTTTCATTTTGGAACAAACTGAAAATCAGTTGGTTTGATCATCATCACCTATTTACTGTGCTTTCAAAACTTTATGTTACGTTTTTCTTCAGAACTGCAGGATGGAGGGCATTGCTTGCGGGTGCTGTGGCTGGTCCTTCAATGCTCCTAACAGGACTGGAAACACAACATACTAGCTTGGCTTTTTATATACTGATTCGCGCAACTGTTTTGGCATCTCGTTGTGGAATAAAGAGCCAATGTTTTGGAAATGTTTGTAAACCTTTGACTTGGTCACATGGTGATATATTCCTTATGTGTCTCTCTTCATCCCAAATTCTGTATGTTTTTCCAAAGCATATTTTACTTGTTACATGCATTTTCTCATTATTTAGTATAAACCTTTTCCTGATATTGTGTGATTGCTTGCATTATATCACAGTTTATTTTATGGCATAGAGTATCTCCATATTTATATTATGGTTCTCAGATACTTTATATTTTTGATTATTTAGGCTTGGATGAATGCGTACTGTCAGAGAGAATGGTATTCATTAATCAAGGCAACGCATGAAACCTATTTTGGTTTTCCCAATGAATCTTGAATGTAATTGGTTTCATTGAATCATTTAAAAACATTCTTGAAGTGTTTAAATTGTTTATCATTCTATAGAAATTGTTTTTGCACGCTGTTGATGTTAGTTGATGCTTCATTTTACATTAAGGATTTTTGGCTGCATATTTCAATGCCGGGTTGTGAAATTGGTGTTTTAAGCTGCTAGAGATAAAAATGTTGCTAGAACCAATGCTGAGTAGAAAAGGTTGTTTGGTTGCTATTATGAAAGTACTACTAGGAATGAATTAACATTATTAGCCTTTTTGATAGAACTTTGATGACCTGCTATTGAGCTGTTAAAATTACAGAAACAAACACGGGTCAGCCGTGGTGGAGCTAGAAAATTCTTATAGAGGGGCCCAAATTAATTTTTTTAAAAAATTTCCTTCTCTAATCATTTACACGAAATCATTAAGCATTAAAAGAGGATTGCAGCTTAAATTTCTGCAAAATGATCCAAGGACAGCGCATATGATAGCAAGGTAGGTGTGATAACATAATAAAGAGCTGCGACAAGATTTTGATCAACCAAAAGCCAAGTATGATAATTAGGGTTAGGAGTGAGATGACCCTCAGCTTTTGACAGATTTTTGACTGGGCAAAGGCAAATTAATTGAGATATAGGAAAAAACAGAGAACAGGTTAAAGCGGAATTCATTGATAATAGTAATTATAACAATTTTAATTGCATAAAATGAAGAATTTTCATTGTTACTGGGTCCTGATACCATGATAACAGTAACCATTGCTCATATTCATAACCATTGCTCATATCTGCAAACTCAAGTTGATCAAATTTATTTTAGAAGATTTGAAAATTAGGTGGGACGTGCCTATGAAGATATATTGACTGTAAATAAGCCATTAATATTTGCTTGCAATTCAATACAATATGATCAAACCAAATATGTGGAAATGGGTAGACATTTCATAAAATAGAAAGTAGAAGGTGGTTTGATTCGCCAAAGGACTTTGCGACCCCACATTCAAAAATATTGTAAGCAAACTTCGGATAATAGACCTATACCATACAGTTTGAGGGGAGTGTTAAAAGGCCGAAAGGTGTAATGGGGACCAAAGGCTAGTAGGCCCAATGGGGCTGATAGAATTACTTGAGAAGGAAAGAATAAGCCACCTATCACTCATCCAATTAAGGAAACTCCTCTTCCATGGATTCATGTACAATAAAGGAAGGAAGGAAGCCCTCAGATTAGTAGCGCCAATCAGAGCATTTGGCAAGCCCTATGCACAAATGATGGGCATATTTTTTAAATTTTTTTTGTAATTATTATATTTAGTTAATTCTATTATTGCGGGCCAAATGTAGTGGGATAACGGCTACTTCTTGTTGTAGTTGATTCCAATTATTCTCTATATAGTGTATAAATATCTATTGAATGAATAAACATCTCAAGCTTTCCTAGCCACTTTTTCCTACAAATCTTATCTTTGTCTGGCCCCTTGAATTATCTGAGTTCATTATTATCTACAACAAATCTCCTTTGTTGGTTTTTCCTAATCACTTTGGGATGGCAATATTTTCTCGTCATGATCTGGTCAGGTATTAAGTTTTTCTTTTCCCTTCATTTACCTAATTATGCTAGGATCATGATATTCCTCTCCTTGTGAGAATTTGTCACTGGATCGGACCTAACTAACTTGTGGTTATTTATGACACTTTTATATGTACCCTATATAGAAGATTTTGCGGTCTCCTGACTTATTGCCTTTTATGTGGGTTATATTCAGATTTCTCTGTAATGATAATTTTGTTACATACTTATTCTTATTGGGATTTTCAAGTTATCTTGCAAGTTATAAATGTAGTACTATGCTCAGATAACAGCTGTTTTATTAACTTTGTATTATGCATTATCCAACCTGCTCTTTTTATTTATTGGAGAACCGGGCATTATCTTATTTTAGTGAATTGTTCTACAGGTCTGCTTACATTTTGAATCAAGAAAGCCTGCCGTCATCATATAAAGCATTTCTTAATAAGCATGGTGGAAAGGCTGCTGCTATTCTACAGGGTGTTAAAGAACTTGCAACCAGCACAAAATTTACGAACTTGGATTTGATAGAGAAACACTACAAATCTATGGGTTTTGATGTAAAACTAGACCCGAATATGAAAGTGGCTTGCTCAGTACGTACTTGATGCCAATTTTTTCAACTTCAAAGAAATTGCTATTTAATTATATGTTCATGATTATTTTTATTTTTGCAACAATTCATTTTCAAGAGGATGGGCCTGAAGCGGTGGTTAAATTACCTCTGATGTAATATGGAAGTCTCAAGTTTGAGTCATGAAAATAGCTTTGGGCTAAAGTTGCATACAACAAAATCCTCTTTTTACTCTAAATTAGGGGGAGGAGCTCTAGGCAGTTTATACGCCCTTTGTAAATAATTTATTTTCAAAATATAATCAGTTAATGTTAGAATATGATACTTCGTTTAGATTCTAGTATTTCATTTCAATTGGAAATTTAATTGCAAATCACATCTGTTCAGATATTGGGGGCGATTGAGGGAGGCATATCTTTATAAATAAAGAACTTGTAGTTAAAAAAATTCTTGTTTTTCAAATTTGTGCTGCAATGCAAGCAGGTGAAATTGTTCTTATGAAATAGAAGAACCATTTTAGGGCAATCTGATATTTGGGATCACTCTTGGAGTAAATGATAATTTAAAGCAATGTAGGAAAATTTAAAAGTTTGGGTACTTGGCATGCTTCGTGTGAGTAAAAGTAAGGGGAATTTACATAAATGCCATTGAAATCTTCTCTATTTACATATTTTACTTCATAATCTCATTATTTTCATATGTACTACCAGGTCCATAAGCCTCTAAATACATTAGAAGTGCCACTCTCATAACATGCCGTTCATTCTTTTTCGGTTATTTTCTAAGCCACAAAGCAGATAATGACTTTTGGGTATCAAATATGTAAATGTAGATAGTTTTATTGTTTTATATATTAATTAGAGATGATTTTATGGTTTGTATGTAAATACCCTGACATTTTAAAAACGGTGGGACATGAGTGGGAGTTTTGTATCTTTCTTCTATAACTCCTACAACTTCCAAAAACCTCAACTACTCATTAAACCCAAGATAATCTAGTTGAAAATTCAATAAATAGAGAAAATTTTTCCATGAGCAACAAGATTAAAAAATTCATATCCTTAACCATTAATCCAAAACCTATAAAAACACATCAATTAGTTTCTTAATATCCCAAGCATTTGATTTGAAATTCATTTGAAAACCAACTCCAAATCTGTCAAAAAATCCTAAATACTCTTTTCCCCATTGACCACATAACTCTTCAACCACCATGGGGGGGGGGGGGGGGGGGGGGGGGGGAGGCGGCTTTTGGGGGGTGGGGTTGGCACCAATCAAATTGTTGCATTCATCATTATGATCCTATAGAAACTTCATCACTTAATTTGTGCCTTATACTATGTTCAAGCAAGGTTAAAGAGCGGGTGACTCCCCCACAGGCTTTATATGGTGAATGATTACCGATGTAGAGGGGGCTGATGTGAAGGAAAATTAATAAAATGCAAATGAGAGTGGAAAATATTCTCACGTAGGATATAAGATATGAGTTTTTAATATATTATTTGTGGCCTTTACCGTTGGCTTAAGCTTTTGAGTTAAAGATGGATTTAGATATTTATTTATCAGGCCCAAATTTGCCCCCAAGTAGTTAACAACATATCAAATAGTTGATCCACTCCCACCCCTCTTCTTTTTTGCTTCTTCCCATGTGTATTTTATGATTCTTTGGAAATGGTTAAGCACTTAAGCTTTCCAAACACCAGATAGAACCCTTCTGATCAGCTTGGATCTTTGGTTAGGGAGTGATTAACCTGGTTTCGTTTACAAATCTTCAATTCAGAAAAAAAAATTCTAAAAATGATCATATTTGAAGTAGGATCTAGAGCTGAAACTCAATTGTTTGGGACAAAAATTGAACTTTTTGAAAATTTAACAATTTGGTTTTTCATTTTTTTCCTCCTCCATGGTGGTCCAATGTTGACACAGACCAAACATATGCTCAATAAAGATAAGAAAATGAAAAGAAAAAAAAAAAAGGTTAATTGATCATTGTGAGATGCATATATTGGCTTAACCTAGCGTATACTATAATATGCATAGACTTTATTTTCTTTTTCTAATCACTTCAATCAGTGAAGTGTAGAATATTCAAATCCAGTCACGCTAGATTCCTAATGAGCCTTTAAGTCTGTTCAAATAAAGCGCATGATTGGTTCTTATAAATCACTTTGTGAATTTTGCTTCATTCTCTTGGTGTAAATAAATCAAAATGTTGGGTTGCCGGGCACGTAAACTTGACACTGATCTTTCAAAACTTTTGTAAGCACCTTTTTGTCAAAAATTCTTTGTCCTATATTGTACTTTATTCTTTTCTTATTTTCTGCGTTAGCTATTTTGTTTGCACTTTATTGCTTGCTGGGTTTTTAAAAGATATTAGCTCTTACATCTCTTATATAATTTGTATAATTTAGAAATATAATACTTGTATCTTTATGCAGATTATTCATGGCAATCAATCTTGCACTAGACATCTTGTATCTTTTTTTGTTCAAGAATATGGAAGGGCGTTGCCTGTCTATCTTCCAGTATACTTAATTCCCGCATTAATAGTTCACCGTAGGGGCCTTGTGAAAAGGTACCAACTTTTTTCTGCTCTTTTTTCAGCCAAAGAAGATATCTACCAGGAAATTATTATTGAAACTTGTGTTGTCATATAGTTCCATAAGTTTGCAGATTACATTGAAACTTGCTTCAATCATTTAACTTTTGGAGAATAGTGATGTACTTTTCTTGAGAAAAGAATTTCTAATTAAGCTATCAAATGCTTCCTGACATACAACTAATCAAATTCTTGTTATTGTTAATATGTTCATGAAATGAATCGCAGCTGCCTTGTCATTTTTTAATTATTGTATTACCGTGTGATCTCCAAACCAACCATTAAGAAACGGAGTCACCAGAATTAAAAGGAGAGATTCAGAATAATGGAGCATATGGCCTGTAGATGTTGTAATGACCAACATTTTCTACTTACTCTCCATTGAGTGTACCCCATAATGTAGCGGATGGACCTTGTGACTATCAGAAATAAATTTATTTAGCCATTCAAGTGTTTGAGGCGCTAAGATTAACAGTACAGCTGATGCACAAATAAACCGTTTGTGGATTCTGATTCTTGTAGACCCATATAAGAAAGGTAAAGTTTTTATCTCATTTATATGATATCTTTATAGATAATTTTAATATATGAACCTCGATGTACACACACATTGCATATGTACTTATACACTTTGTAGAGAGAGAGAGAAGGATATTCTCTTGGGGTTGCTGAAAGGACATCAACATTATTCTTTGAATTAAAAAAAAAAAGATAATTTGGATAACTTCATTGTATTTCTCCATAAAATTGAGTGTCTCCATCAAAATAAGACCTTTTGTACTTCTATATCTTAATTGAAAGAAAAGAAAGAAAAAGCTGAACATCTAGACTTCTAAAAGAAAGGAGTCAATGTTGGGGAAGTAAACCATGTAGCGAACACAAACAAGGAAGATAAAATGTAGTAGAAATAAAGAATATCAGGATTTAACGTGTGAAAACTTGAAACTAAGAAAAAACAATGGAGCCACACCACATCAAGAAATCTATTATGAAAATTTTGGAGAATTAGTTCAGATATTTCTTCTCTCTCACTCTCTCATTGTCTCTTTTCTCGCTTGCATTATTCTCTATTGAAAAAACAAAGAAAAGCACTAAAACTACTGAGGGACGCAGCCCTTAATGAAAAATAAGAAAGAAAACTGCTCAACCCGCCTCGTAGCATCGCGATGCTCAACTCTTTGTCTACAGTATGCCTGACAACACCATATCGCTTGGGCACACAGGAGCACAGTGTTGTACGATTGTACGAAAAAAATAGGGGAGGACCCCTGCAACCCCGTGGCGAGCTCGGTTAATGGAGTTAAGGTTCAAAGTAATAGTACAACTACAACCCGACTGATCGACACAATCAGATTCCACACAAAATTAACAGTTAATTCCATTTTTAAATGGACAACTCTTTAAGTTTCGAGACTTGATGTAGTTATTTTGAGAAGAGAAAGGAAGATGTATGTGTATGATACTCTGTGAGAACAGACTTGATGTAGTTGAATAATGGACGAAAAAAAGGAGAGAATGTAAGGAGAAAGTTTTGAAATAATTCTAAATCCATGATCAACACATTTTCATCTACAGTAACCATTAATTTGTGGACAATAGCTTTTCATTTACAACAACCTAGCAATTCTTGGACAACAACTTTCCATTTGCAACAATCCATTGATAACAATATTCCATTTATGTTGTGTAGTTAATTTTGGATTACAAAAATGACTTATTTTCAAATTTATTTTTTTATTTGTGTTTGCTCAAGAAAAATGGCGCTTCGGCATGAATCCTACTTTTTAGACTTAGGATTCCATTCTCCTAAGGCATATTGTATTTTAATTAACCATATTTCTTCTGAGGATTATATCAGGGTTTATTTAGATTTGGGTCATTACCCCTCCTACTGCATAAGAGAGAATTCTCGAATAAGGATGAATTAACTTCAAAATGTTTGTCTCATTTATGGGGGATGAAGGTAGACCTGATCAAGATCACATAGTTTTATCGTTCAAGGAATGCCATAGGTTTTAGTTTACCAATACTAATAATCGTTGATCGTAGTGTTTAGGAAATCTGATTAGCTGCCATGAGTTGCCTCTTCTCAGAGATCTCGAGTAAATTGAAGTGGTTAGTTGTAGATTTTAGTTTTATTGTGGTTTGGAGCTTATATCTATAAGAATGCCCATTAATTTATGAAGTTTGAGGCTTATGGCTCCCTTAGTAGTTGCCTAGTTGTTTTGATTTAGTTTGGGACTTACAACTTCATTTAGAAGTTGTCAGTTAGTTTGGCTTACTACTTCCATTGGAAGTGGCCTGTTCATTCAACTTATTGAAGCCTCACAAGAACCACAAACTCTCTCGTCACCTTGTAAATGGACTCAACCTATAAAAATGAGCTTGATGTTTATACCAGGAGAAAAAGAAAAACCAAGGCAAGCAATCAACATATCTCCAACACATCCTAGAACTTAAGCTTGGTTAAAGGACCAATGAAACATAAACATATGAGAAGAAATTTAGAGATGATGATATTAGTTTCCATTGCCCTATTGCCTTAAGAAAAGGGATGAGATTATGCACTAAGCACCCAATCTATGATTTCATGACATAGGGATTTCACATAGGTTTAATGCTTTTGTCACTTTTCTTGATAAAATATAGATTCCAAAAAATATTCATGAAGCCCACAAAACCCTCTAGTTGAAGAAAGATGTAATGAAAGAAATTCAGGCCTTAGAAAAGAATGTTACATTGATAGTTTTTAAACTTCCACCTAGAAAGTAACTAGTTAAATGCAAATGGATCTTTATAATCAAATATAAAATAGATGGAAGTGTAGATAAATTTAAAGCCTACTTATTGCAAAATGTACACCTAATCATGTAGTATTGTCTATCAATAACATTTCTCTCATATTTTCAAAGTTAATACAATTTGAGTTTTGATCTCTTGCGTCAAATATGGATTGAGATCTACATCAACTTGATATTAAGAATGCTTTTCTTAATGGGGACCTTGAAGAGGAAATATACATGTAAATTCCACTTGAATTGAAAATCAGAGAAACACTAATATGATATGTCAACAAATAAAAGTTCTATATAGCCTCAAACGATCTCTTCATGCCTAGTTTGGTAGATTCTCCCAAATATGTTAAACACTTTGGATATAATTTTGTGTAAAATTGACCACACTCTTCATTAAGCACTTAAAGGAGAATGTGATTTTGATTGTGCATGTAGATACTATATTAGCAGGTGACTTCAAGAAAGAGATAACTATATTGGCAGGTGACTTCGTGGAAGAGCTAATTAGATTAATAGCATTTTTAGTGAAAGAATTTGAGGTAAAAGACGAGAAGTTTAAAATACTTTCTTGTTATGAAAGTGTGATGATCAAAATGAAATGTCGTTATTTCCCAAATGAAATATATTCGTGGTCTACTTCAACAAACATGACTGTGATAGGAAACACTTGGATTTCCAAGTGTTTCTCACCAACACCCAGCAGATCTAGGAGAAAAACTGCTGTCCACAGCAGAAAATCAGCCCAAAAAACAGTGAAATCTGAGAGAAATAGGGAGAAATCCTTGGAAAACAATAGAAACGATTGTATTCCACTAGTAGGCAAACAAAACCAAAGCAAGATACAATGTTCTTCAATTCGAGAGGAAGAGCAACTCTCCAACAATCTCCGGCAACGCCAAGAGCCCAAGCAAGAAAACCTAGAAGACAAAACTCATTCAAAATCAAGATGAAACCCTAATCCCCTCATAACTCCCTATTAATACAATCTAATTCAAATTAAAAGCAAAAGGACTACTCTACCCTTCCTTCTCCCTCCAAAAACACTTAACCCATGTTTGAATTGCAAGTGGACCCCACCCCCACCTCTATTCCCCCTTCCGCCTGCTCCCTGGGACGCCTCCGCCTCAAGTAAACTTGGACCGGCTGGGCCGGTCCAGGTTGAGCCGGTCCAAGCTGGACCGGCATAACAGACTGCTTGAATGTAAGTCTGCAGAAATTCCAATGGACTCAACAAGAAAATTAGGATCATCACCAACAACATTCTTATTGATAAAGATTTGTATTAATGTCTTGTATGCAAACTCATCTGCTTCTCTCTCACCCATCTTGATATTGCTCTCGCCTAAATATGCTTGTCTGTGAAGTTTTGGTGGGATTTGATGCGTTGATGATGGTATGACTGTGGAAATTGATAATATAATAATTTCTAATTAAATAATATTTTGCTACAAAATCTGCAAACCTAAAAGAATATTCAAATACACTTGTTTAAAGTTTTTAAATTGTGTATGCGATTGATCCTTGAATGATAAATATTGTTCTTGTTCATATTTAATATCTACAAAAGTGGGATTTTCTTTTGTAGTAACATATGGCCAAAATAATCAAATTGATGCCCTTGATTTCGTTTCATTGAATTTTGTTCTTTAGAAATAAGATTATATGTTTTAAAGAAATTTTTATTTTTATAATTTATCTATATGAAAATTCTATGGGATTATGCATCCTATTGAATGTAGGAACACTACTCTTAACTCCATTATAATTATTTTGAAGTTATTTGATTCATAGCTAAGGTACTGTTGTTTAAATTTCATTTTTTTGTTTTGCTAATTAACTATCAGTGCCTGATATTTAGAAGACATTATGATACCTTAAGCTATATGCTGAATATGATGTAGAAAATGTTTTAGGATCTGTAATTTCTAATGCAAATCTGACCTGCAATACAAACGGTAATATAACGAACAGTAGAATTTGTCAGATACATTTTATTAATCCATGGCATAAATTTACTACCCCCAATTATAATCAAATAAATGATAAAAGCCAACTCAAGTGAAAGATCTTGTCCGCTAAAAATTATAACTACAAGATCACCAAAGTCATGCACACAATTAAAATTTTACAAAAGCAAAAGAAATCTAAATTTGAGCAAATTTGACTTTGCAAAATCACTTTCAAATGATAATGAAAATGTAGGAGAAGAAAGCTGAGAAGAAAAGAAAGAAAATAGAAAGTGACTAGAAAAGCAAACCGTATGTTTGTACATGGAGATGACCCACTTTAACCTAAATGACTAGGATAGACTGTGGGGTTGACTTATAACCCTACAAATTGAAGCAAGAGATAGGCCAGCTTATTGCTGAAATATCGAAGAGGAGCCTGATTTCGTAGGCCCTTGCCCAGTGGATGAAAAAAGATGCCCCTACTGAAATTTCTGCCTCAAACTCCATCAAAGGACTGACTCTTAAAACGAGAAGAATTTGCACATCTAAAATGAAATTCTATTATGGGTGGAACTATTTTATGTACATGCTTGAAATATCTATTTATTATCACCAAATTAATGGAAAATAAAACACTAAGAGGTTACCTTTTGCAAACAGGAGGCTATGATGAATTCTCAAAAGAGTAGAAAAAGATGAAGGATCAAACCCGCCCAACAAATTGCTACAATCTCAAAATTCCTGCAAAGTACCTGGAATCTTGAGCCATAAGAAAATCCACAGACGCTACAGTCGCTTGATTTCCTAACAAAAAGTGTTTTGATGGTCGTAAGAAGAAGCAGCCCGCTAATAAGATCATTTGGAAGAAGGAATTGTCTCTAGAAAGTTAAGGATTTGCCCATCATAGTCATCATCAAACTATTTTCTGTACATACATCATATTAGTATCTATAATCGTCAAATTAGAAATAAATAAATAGTAAACTCCCTTTCAAAATGAGTAGGAACTGGCTTTAGCTATGGTATATTCTCAGAAGATCCGAAACAGACAAGGATCAAATCCACCGAACTCCTTGATATAATTACAATATTCCTACTAACGATCTTGGATCTTCGATCAAATCCACCGAACTCCTTGCATATGCTATGGTCTTTCGGCATTCCAACAAAAAATGTTTTGTAAGTTGTAGAAGAATCCCCCTATAAGATGACCATTTGGAAGAAGCAGGAGCGACAGCCACACAAAGGTAGAAGTAGCATGGGAGTTGAAAGATTTGCTGTATCCACTTTTGTGTGTTGTGAATTGCGACGTGTTTTTTAAGGCTTTGCTAGGTTGTGCTTTGGTTTTGAAAATTTTTTAATTCCGCAACTTCGAATTCTGCGAACACCTAACAGGAATCCCCCACGCTGTATCACATATACAGCTTAAGATTATGGTGAATGCACTTGGGAAGCAATTCCTTTCCTGACGAGAGCAATGATTATTTTGTACGCCTCAGCATGTCATTGCCAACATTGACTTGTTTTTTTAAATTTTCTAGCAATGTTCTGCTTCATTCTTTTATAAATTTTTATCTATTGTTCTTTAGGGGAGCTTGACTTCTAGCAAAAATGCATGTCTTAACAACTTTACTATGCTTCACAGGCCTTACACCATCCTAGCAAAGAGTCTTATTGGTACTGCAAAATCAAGCTTGTTTCTCTCTGTATACTGTGCATCAGCCTGGTTAGTTTTGATTCTTGATTTATATCATGCTTTTGATTGGATTGTTTAAATGAAACAGTTTTGTAATTATATATGCCGTTCTTTTATTTTACAGCATACCAACTTATTTAAGTTCATTGATGGATGGATGATTAGGTTCCTACTGATAAATTAGGCCAGCCTGTTAATAGTATGAATGATAAGCATGTTCTTATCATGTGGTAAATATGTTTTATTTCAAGGTTTTTAAGAAAAAAGGCAGGGTACAACTTTTTCAATAAATATTGTTGTTGTAGGAGTGCCATATTAGAAAGATGATTTACTGTAATATATATGTTGATCTCATTTCTATTGCATTCGAGTTCAATCATCGCACACATACTTAAGTTGGCTTTGGGTCTCTCCCCAGTTGGATCAGTGATACCACGTTAAACCCGGTGATTTGATTTTAGACCTCTCAATTAAAGCAACATCCAATTAACTCACACCACCTTGCTAGATTAAAATAACATCCTAACGGCAAAGGCTTCTTTTCAATATTCGAAATTACCTGCAACTTCTTCACGTTACCTGTTGTGGCCCGGTCATCCACTGCTTTCTCTGCAAAATAGAGAATTTGGCATACAACAGCTTTTTACTCTAGGCTCTAGCACCGCAAACTTCACCCCCTAAAGCTTAGGGGGAGCCTTGTTGCAGCTTTGCCGAGAACACCTAGTGTATTAGTTACAAACCTGTTGCGACATTGCCTCTAATTACTCTGCCCAAGATCAAAACCCGTTGGTCAACGTATCAATCTACTCTCCAGTAATCCTCTCCATCTACAAAAAGCCCAACACCTCTTCAGGCTTTCTCCACACGGCCCAACCTCCATACAACTACACTTATACAACATTAGGCCAGCCCACTTAACCAAGGTCATCAAAACCTAGAGCCACCTACAGAGGCTATATAGCGCCTCTGTCCAGTATGTTTACTCATCTTCTGTTATATTCCTGTGCTCCTACCGTGTAATCGCTAGCCTGCCCACACCAATTCCTAGCTGGCCTCATTAAAATAGCAACTACTGCTACAGCTCGAGCAAAGGGATTGAATTTGGCAACTCAAGTGACGGTCGGTAGGAGCGATGCATTACTTGAATGGTCAAATGACCTCCGATCGCCAAACGGACTGCGCCGTTGCGATCAGAGGGTTGTATTTGCCTAAGAGGGAGCCCATTGCAGTCAAATCGGCCGGAAATTGTTAAAATCGGCAACATACACCCAAAATTGACGTACAACGTTGCTCAAACGACATTCGATCGCAAAACAGACTTCGCCGTTTCGTTTGAAACATCTAAGTCAACCTAAAATTTACTATAATTTTGCTCAATGAAAATTGCGCTGGCAAAATTGAGGTGGATCCCGAGGTGAAGACGCACATATTTTGAGGAAAAAGTGCGTGGATCGAGATAAATTCTATTATGTTGTATTTTTTGTTTAATAATAATAATAATAATAATAATACTATTACTATTATTAGTATTAGTATTATTATAAAAATTAAAATAAAAAAATGCATCCTATCCCTACTACCATGCTCAAATCCTCTGTTATTTGGTAGTCAATCCCTTCCAATTTGGCGTTGAACTGTCCCGTCTTTTTGCCGGATATCCTGCTCAAATCTTGAGCTATTTGTCCGCCTCGATCGAGTCCCGCTCTTGCTGATAAAATGATAACGAAGCTCGCTTCCTTCATTTCCTTAGGTTCCACGCTCAAAAAAGATCTGCTTCGAATTCCTTCCTCCACAACAGCATAATCTCCTTTCTCACATCCGACGTTCGACTCCAATAAATCGCAAACCCAAATCTACCCCCTTCGTCTGCAAGCGACTGACTCTCGTCGATCGATTCTCACCCAATCCAGTCCCGGTCGAACTTTTCAAGCCGAGCCCTCAAGCCACCAAACAATTCGTCCAATCTAGGCCTCATCATCCCTTCGATCTACCCTGTAGTCCCGCTGTCAAACTATTCTCCTCCTAACAACAGCAACTGCATCTCCACTTCTTCCCTCTCTCCCATTCTCTTCAAAGCCGCAACTCCACCCAAACTCCTATAGCCCTTCTATCTGCAAGCCGAACACTCCACCTCATAAGCCGATCCCTATCTACCGTAAGCCCCACCTTCTGTCTGGATTGAAATTGGCAACTCAGGTGACAGTCGGCGGCTGCGACACATCACTTAAATTGTCAAACGACCTTCTTTCGTCAAGAGATCAGAGCGTTGAATTTTGCCTAAGAGGGTTCCCCTCGCAGTCAAATCGGATGAAAACTGTCAAAATCAGCATCCGACACCCAAAATTGATGCGCAATGTTGCCCAAACGACGTTCAATCGCAAAACGGACTTGTTGTTCCGTTCGAAATATCTGAGTCATAAAAAATTGACTATAATTTTGCTCAATGAAATTCGAGCGGGGAAATCCACGCGGATCTTGAGGCGACGGCACATTTACCAGAAAAATCGCGCAGATCGAGATAAATTATGTTTTGTTGTATTTTTGGTTGTTTATTACTATTATTATTAGTATTATTATTAAAATTAAAATAAAAAAATGCATCCTATCCCTACTACCATGCTCAAATCCCACTCAAATCCTCTGTTATTTGGCAGCCCATCCCCTGCAATTCGGTGCCGAACTGTCCCATCTCTGTCAAATATTCTACTCAAATCTTGCACAATTTGTCCACCTTGATCAAATCCCACTCTCGCTAATAAAATGATAATGAAGCTCGCTTCCTTCATTTCCTTCGATTCCACGCTAAAAAAAATGCTTTGCTTTGAATTCCTTCCTCCACAGCCTGATCTCCTCTCTAACATACGACGTTCGACTACAATAAATCACAAACCCAGATCGACCCCCCTCCGTCTGCAAGAGACTGACTCTCATCGATCGATCCTCACCCAATCCAGTCCCGATCGAACTTTTCACGCCGAGCCCTCAAGCCACCAAACAATTCGTCCGATCTAGGCCTAACGATCATGCCAATCTACCATGTAGTCCTGCTGTCGAATTATTCTCCTTATAGCAGCAGCCGCATCTCCACTTCTTCCCTCCCTCCCATTATCTTCACAGCCGCAACTCCACCCAAACTCCTATAGCCCTTATGTCTGCAAGTCGAGCACTCCACCTCATAAGCCGATCCCTATCTCCTGTAAGCCCCAGCTTCCGACTGTATTGAAATTGGCAACTCAAGTGATGGTCGGCGGCCGTGACGCGTCACTTAAATGGTCAAACGACATTCGATTGCCAAACAGACTATGCCGTTGAAATAAAAGCGTTGAATTTGCCTATGAGGGAGCCCCTCGCAGTCAAATCGGGCGAAAACTGTCGAAATCAGCATCCGACACCCAAAATTGATGCACGATGTTGCCCAAACGACATTCAATCGCAAAACAAACTCCGTTGTTCCGTTTGGAACATCCGAGTCATCGAAAATTGACTATAATTCTGTTCAATGAAATTTGAGCGGGGAAATTCACGCGGGTCCTGTGTAACACCCCACAGTACCTCTAAATAGTACCATTGAGTATAACCTGCATCACATAATCATTTATCCTTTCAAAACATTTAATACAACTTTTCTTTTTAGAAGTTCATGTAAAACATCAAACCATAAGTTCATTTATACATCAACGGAAGCATCTTCCAAATTAAAACTTCAATAAACACATTTACAGAGTCACTAAGGAAACCAAACAAATCTTAAAATAGTACAACATGTAAACTGCTTACTAACCTCAAAAGTAGACTTCAAACATAGAATAAACATTAACATAAAATGTAAATACTTGCAGATTAGTCTTCTTCCATCTTTTCCTTTCACTTTCCTGTAACAACAGTCAGTAATAAACTACTGGTGAGCTATGAGACTCCACAAGTGATGCAATTTGAACTAACATTTAAATTATATAATTATAAAATTCAGAATATTGAAAATATAAATACTAGAGCAAATTTCATACATTCTCATTTGACATTACCCAGAAATTCTTCGTACATCAATTCTGAATATCAATTTTACTCATTAAAAAAATTTGGCTACTCATTCATAAACATATTCAATGGAGCTCAGGTAAACCTGGCATTATCGCCATTGAATTACATAGAAGTCCCTTTTGCCTCTTTGAGGTCCCTTTTGCCCCATCTGCTTTGCAGGTTTCATTTTCTTGGGGTCCCTTTTGCCCCACTTATCAAACAGTTTAATATATGGGGACTCTTTTGCCTCATCTGCATTGGTAAGTTATACATAAATCTTTAGCCAAACTTCACTTTTAAATTGATATTTAGTACATCTTTCATATTCATTATATACTAGACTTACTGCAAGATTTCTATTCATTCATTATATAACTTGAATATGCGCATAATAAGTAAAGAAAAGGATCTCTTTCCAAAACAATATCAATAAGGAACATGTTTAAATCGACATAATAAACTTTAATTTAAACTCAAATAAGTAATTTATGTAAGGGGTTAATCATACTTGGAAACTTGACTATGAATATCCTTAAGAAAAAGGAAACTAACTAGTAGTGCTTATTTTTCTTAAATTCATGCAATATCAAATTTATAATAGTTTTCTTTAGACTTTAAATTGCATTACTTAACTCCTTTCTCAGTCGTCTCCTCCAATTCCCTATTATGTATTCTTCGACGATTGTAAGTCACTTCAAATCCTCTTTTCTGCATAAATTTAGGTAATTCCTACATTCAAGGTAACAATGATATACTCATTTTGAAAGTTAATGCTGACCACTAAATTAAAATACAAAAATACTCACCTAACTTTTCTCTGAGCTTTCTTTCAACCAACAGTTTCCTCAAATAGTTTATACACTTACATCAACTAAATTTTATACTTCACAGAATTTTCCTCACACGCACTTCACTGCACAGTTATTTGAATTTGCACTGCTTTCACAGAATTCCCTCAAGCCAAAAATGCCAAAATCTTCCTCTATAGCAGCCGAACCATACAGCCATTC